CCTCAGGCGGCGCGGCCCGCTCCGGGACGCTGCTCTGGCAAATCCCGCTCCTTGTGAGGAGCACTTTGTTCCTGCAGGGTGGAGGCAAGTGAGGAAAGCTGGATGGTCCCAGCTGACAGACACATGTAAACTCTGACTTACCGAGGTTAGTCGTGGTTAGGATGGAAGGAAGGACCATCTGCTCTTCAGGCATAATTCCTCCATTACAGACTTAGAGAATTTTTTAGGTTGGGAAAGAACTCGAAGATCATCTAGCCCAACCATTAACCTGATTCTCCAAGTCCACCACTAAACCACGTTCCTAGATGCCACATCTTTTAAATATCTCCAGGGATGGTGAATCCACCACTTCCTTGGGCAGCTGTTCCAGTGTTTGACAACCCGTTCAGTGGAGAAATGTTTCCTGATATCAAATGTAAATCTTATCTGGAAGAATTTGAGGCTGTTTCCTCTTGTCTTACCCCTTGTTAACTGGGAGAAGAACCCAGCCCCCACTTCAGCATAACCTCCTTTCAGGGTTATGTTGGAAAGAAGAATAGTCCCCGTGAGCCTCCTTCCCTCCAGCCTGAACAGCCCCAGGTCCCTCAGCTGTTCCTGGTAGGACTCGTGCTCCAAACCCTTCACCAGCTCCATTGCCCCTCTCTGCACTCACTCCAGCATGTCAATGTTTCTCCTGTGGTGCATGGCCCAAAACTGAGCACAGGATTCAAAGTCCAACCTTGACCAATACAATTAGCCTTAGAGCCAGCCAGGATGGCCTCACTCAACACCATATAATAGCATCTTGCATAGCTATTATCATTTCTTCAGGAGCTGTCGCTTTAAAGACACTACCAGTCCCTTTCAAAGGGCAAATCATAACTGTGGCACCTTGGAAATATTTGCTTCTAGTAGCTAAGTGCAGGAGCTGAGCTTGCCCTAAGTATTGCAAGAATTATTTGGGGAATTTATGCTCTTGGGTCCTGGCTCCTGGTCACTAGCAGGGAAATGCTGGACTGCACAGAAGCAAAATTTACAAATCTCTGTCACCGTATGGGAACGCTGTGATACTCCCAATTTACACACACACTTTGGATGTGTAAATATTTCAGAGCTGCAATTTAAGGGCACCAGTGATTTGCACAGCACTATATATCACTGCTTCCCAGGGAACACAGTGCTACTGAAAAGTAGCACTCAAGTCAGGGGTAGATTTAACATTAGCATCTCAGCACTACGCTACAAGTTTGATTGTTTATGTACATCATGTCAGCTGATTTAAAATCTATATTTACACACACTGAGATGGCCTCCACTCATTAATAAATTAAGACACTTGTAAACCACTGGATCTGCAAGTTGGCTTTCTAATTTACTAGCATCTGAGTATCAGATTGCTCACCCTTCCTAGGCAGAAGCTGATGGGGAACAAAACTAAATGTTCCACATAGTCCTGTAAACAGTGGTTGTCCATACACCACTGGTATCCATGTTCCTTATACTACACCTCTCTGCAGGACTAAGTTTTTCTCTTCTGTCCTGAGGGTTATTAGCCTTGGATCTTTTGCCAACACTGAACTCAATCATTTAGATGAGTTTAATGACAAAGGTTAGTTTTTCCAAGAGGAAGCTGGAAACCTACAGCAGTAAGTTCTTGGGGGCTAAGAACCATGCAGTGAGCGAGTTGCCATTGCAGCTGCTATTGGGGGCCCCTTCTGCCAGCAGCTCTCCCTTCCTCCCCTGAGCACGAATGATGAAATATTAGAGGCTCTGATCTCTGCCTCATTAAATAGAGAATATTCTCACTCCGTCTTGACCTGCGCTAGGGCCAGTTTAAGGAGCAATCTGTCATGAGATCATTAATACAAAGACTTGCTCAGAGGGCAAGGATGTTCATCCAAAATTAAATTCTTAACCTTTTTGGGAAGGACTTCGGAAAGGATATTTTACCTTTCCTAACTGAAGGAGTCAGTTATATATTTCTGCACTGCAGAGATGATGGAATCAAAGTCAAGAGGCCAGCATCATGCTGAGACTTTGCCTCCCCAGTTCTTTCAGTGATGTCCAGCACTGTGTGAGCTGAAGCCCGAGAGATCAGGAAGTAGAGCAATGGTCAGGGAGCAAACCAAGGTCAGTTAAAAACTGAAATGAATACAGTTCAAATAGGCCAAAGACACAGGCCCCATAACAGCAGCCTGGCAAGGGATAATATGAAGACACTGGCAATGCCTGTACGTAGAGAGATGCTGTAAAAACATGAGCAAGTCTTAGTTAGTTATCCTTTCAAGACACAGATCCAATTGTCAGACACAGTGCTTGCAAGTCACATGAGTGACAGAGGTGGCTCTGCTTGAATTGCTGCTCATAAACATTCTGGGAGGTCTGTCCTTTAATAGATGAATTTATCATATTTGATATCTAAGTGGTTCCTTGGCCTTCCTCCTGCCCCTCTCTTCACTTTTTTTCCTAAAAAAGGTTTTAATGACCAGAGGTACCCATAGTGTGATGATGGGAGCAAGCTGTTAGGATGGAGGCAGATGGAAAGGGAGATAGGAAACCTTCAGTACAAACATTTTCTCCTAATAGTATACAATCTACACAGACTCCTGTAGAAATGGGATGAATAATAGAATCACAGAATTTTCTCATCCTCTGTCACTGTCAAATCCTATTAAACTCACTCCAGGTAAAAGGTACACTATTGACACTGCTAAAACTACACTACACATCGGGGTTACCATAAGCAAATGAAAGAAGATGGGTGTGAGAGAGGATAAAGAGAAATCACAAATCATCATCTTCCCAGTGAAGCATTGAGAATATATGTATTGGGGCTGAAGTGCTATTCCTGAGGACATATAAATGCTATATCAGGTTAGGACTGGAGCTTGATATTAACCCTCTCATCACTGTTTTATTTTTCTATGAATATTGTCTCTGCTGCTTCTTTTGAGGCTAATGTGCTTTTATACCAAAGAAGATACAGACAACTGGATTAGTATGGGATTTAGGGAGCAGACTGTGTACTGGGTGATGTGACAGCAAACAACTAAATTTAATATGGCAGCTTGATCCATTATGTATTTTATTCCAAGAAAAGTCGACATGGGCACATGAAACCTGGACTGGATCTGGCATCACAGTGGACTAGGATCCAGAAGTGTCAGTTCTGGGCCACATGATGATCGCATTTTAACAACCACTTTTGCTGCCACTAAGTACATTTTACATGGCTTAAGCTTATAAATGCACATAATCCTCATTAAAAATCTTTCTGACCCTAAACTTTAAGTAAAGATACATAATATTTAGCACCTTTTTGGCATTTTTACTTGTGAAGTTTAAAGGTCTTTAATCGATCAATGTCGTTACACTCATTTCACTAAGCAGGGAGGCTAATACTTGCCAGGTTGCCCAGTGAATCAAGAGGCTTAGAGACTACACACAGAGTTCCCAATTTTTTCAAAAACCCTTATGCAGACTTTGCTCAGGTTACTGCCAGAACTGAGGCATTATACACTTTCACCAATTAAGCTTCAAACTTGCACACATAACTAGAATCCTAGTTGTGATAGTCTTGGAGGGGTAAGAAAGTAGTTCAGGTCCTACAAAGACAACAGTATGGTGACTACTGCTCCTCCTCAAGCAATTATTGGATTAATTAAAGACATGCAGAGATAACTTTCTACTAGTACTCTGAAGTAAGTCTCTCTTTTCTCCTGGATCTTACACAGGTTTAACTTCATACATGTATACAGAGGAATACATGGCATGGTAAATATTTATCAGCTGATAACACTGATTACACCAAGGCCTGGCCCAGGCTTGGCACCACAGAACAAACTTGCTCACTGGAGATAAGCAGATTCTAAGAAATGCAAAGTCTCTGTTACGTTTCATTAAATTAAAAAAAAAATATTAAAAAATTATAATATGAAGAGGGCATGCTGAATTTGATGCCAAGTTGTCCTTTGCATATCATTGACCTGATCCTTCCCAAAGCTTTATCAGTTCTGAGAGGGACACAGCATGCAACTATTCCAAGAATCAAGGAGAAGCCTTTACAGAAACAGGTTTTGTAATCATTCGCAATTCATTTAGCATACGGAGCAACATTCTGGGTGTCATGTCTCCCAGCTGGTGGCCAGACGCTACAGTGGATGCGACCAACTGGCCACACTTTTTCAGCCTGGCAAACCAGGCTTCTGTGTGTGCATGGCCAGCGTGTTTCCATGGCTGAGGCTCAGAGCACCATGTCCAAGTCCTGCAAGCAGACGCCAAGCCAGCTGAACCACAGAGGAAATTATCCTCTGGCCAAAATGGGCAGAGGGATGCCAAAGTTTGGGAAAGAACACCAGCCAGCCAAGAGGATCTTACCAAGAGGATCTTAACGTTGAGAGTAGTCATCTTTCCCTAGTGGTCTTAGGTCTGAGATAGACGGAAGGAGGAACAGATGGCTTTTGCATTCAGAGCCCAGCCCAAGGATTCAAGGGGATGTGAAGTAGTTTTTCTGTAGCTTCTTTAATTTTGCACACCTTTATGAAGCAATACATCAGGTTCTGGGGCTGGCTCCACTTAGGCTTGAGCTCCTGCTGCAGGTGACCGAGAGCTCACCTCCCAGAGCAACATAGCTGGTTTGGTACAGGGATAGACCCAGATTAATGTGCCCTGCACCCAGGTGAAAAACACCCTGTTTAATGGCAGTTTAGAGATTTCCTCAGTGCTCTATCCAAATGCTTCTCAGTGCCATTTTTTCTTCTGTAACAAGAGGGAGGGTCCTGATCTGCTCTCAACCATTCCTGTAAGAGCCAGGAAAGAGCTAGGTAAATTCCGCTTCATCTAGGATGAACTGTCTGTGGATGCTGAGGAATTGTGGATGCAGAGGTTTTTAACATGCATTCAGCCTGGAGAGCTCCACAGGTAGAAATGTCTCCTCAGTGATGAGCATTAAGGCCCATGCAGCCTGGAGGACGGGTTGCACTTAATTGCTTTGCCCGTTTGCAATTGTACGGTTAATTTTTAGCTAATTTCTGCCCCGAGTATGACTTAGCTATCACTGCCGTAGCATTACAGCTAAAGACCCGATTGCATTTCCAGATAGGCTTGTCACTTAGAAAACACTAATGCCCCACTTTTGCAAGGCAATTATGAAGCATTACTCTGATTTTATAACATACCAAATTTCTGTGTGGCTACAGACTGATAACATTGAACCAGCAGCAGCATTGATTTTGTGCTGCTGGCAGTCTGACTTCTGGAATACTACAGGCCACCAGTGGCCATAATACAGGAATAATTAATAATAAGGCTTAATCTTGCCCTCTAATGAACAGAGAAAAACCTCTCTCTCACCCTTGCCCATCCTCCTCTCCATGAATCCTAAGAGGAAGCAAAACTGTGATTTAGCAGGCACATCTTATGGACCAAGGGTCTGAGCACAGAGGAGCAGGCAAATGGCTGTCGTACAATGTGTGGATTGTTGCAGGTACTGATGCACTATGAAGGAAGATACATCCACCCTTCACTGGCTGTGAGAAAAACGCTTGCTGGGAGTCTTTGAGGAGCAGTGAAAAGGAGTGATGTCTTATTTCTATTGTATAAAACAGCTCTGAAATCAAGGCACCTTTGTTTCTAAATAGTCTGTCTTTGTTTCCATGTACTGGCAGTTCAAGCAATCAGAAATCCTGAGTGTAGCCTTCCCAAACCATGAAAATTAGTTTTCTAGATTTCTTGGTTTTGAATCATCAGGTGACATTTAGGGCTGTATTTTCAAGCATTTCATCAGGTGACATTATAGTAAAAAACCTTCAAGCCCTCCTCACATCCCCCAAAAAGCAATGAAGGGAAAATTTGTCTTCTCATATACCTAAGAGGCAGCTGAGCTCGAAATTAGATATGGAAGGACTAAGAATTACCTCTAAAATTGTGAGCGTCAACAGTGCAAAATTTCCAAAATCCCCGTCCCAGTGTTGAGGCTGTGGTAATGCTGTATTTGAAATGGAAAATGCTTTATTGTGCTCTACTTGAATTCTCCCATGCTGCTCTCCTCTCCTTGTTAAAGACATTCACTGGGGAAACCTCTGCATGTTCTTTGTGTGTGAGGGAACAAAGTGTCCTCTCCCCTGGAGGCAGAATACAGTGTCACTGAAGCTAAAAAGGCCCAAAGTGCCATATAATGCTAAAATAACAGGGAGTTTTACCTCTACTTATCTCTCGTAATCCTGAGCTATTTTTCCTCCAGATGAAATGAAAGATATATCCCATCATCTCCACTGCACGCAAATATCATAGCCTGTAAAGCTACACATTAGCAGCTTGGGAGATTCCCTCCCACAAGAGCAGATCAACTCAGGTGAACAATGACTAAGAATTTTGGGGTTTTCCCCCCCAGACCTCATTTTATGCCTGAAACATATGATACCTGCTAATAACATACGTAGCTGTGGGAGATGCAGTAATTACTAAGGCAAATGAATCTCATGCCTCAGGAAGCAGAGTGGTTTCCATAGGGCTGAGGAAGGGAGTCCCCTGCCTGAAGCATTACCCTGAGACGTGAGGGGCCTACAACCTCTTTGCAGCAGCTCTCGCTGCACCTTTTGTCTATCAGGCAGCTCAATCCAAAACCCTTGGCAGGAAGCTGTGCCAATAAATATATTCTCTATTGGCAGGATATTGCACTCCTCTGAAATATCACATATTTGGCCATTAGGGAAGGCAGAGTCTGATCTTGTATGTCAAATCCTATGTTCCCATGAAAAATGAAGGAGCCACTTTGCTCTACTCCACTCTCCTCCCAGCTAACCAAGGAAGCCAAGGATGCTGTCAGAAGTGAAACACAGCGCGGGGCTTGCTTTGCCCTGGCAACAGCAATACCCAAAAGTAGCATAGAGGAGCGACTGGAAAGCAGAAAAGGGGCAGGAAATACATGTGTCTGCTTGCCAGCTGAAACTGCTGAGAATTTTAATTTTAGGCCTCTCATCAGCCCTGACACAAAAATTGTAGCATCAGTTAAGTCATAATGAGTTAGTGGTGCATGTGACGTTTACAGATTGTAGATTAGGAGCAAAAGTGCAGGACTCCACAGTAGCCTCACGTAGCATAGATGGAGTCTTTGGACCCAAGGCTCAGGACCCAAGGTTCAGGAGTTTCAATAAGAAATTTAAATGCTTTGGGAATAAAAGGACACAAATCTTTTCTTCTGTACATTAAACTAGCTTTTACCAACCCCCACCTTAACATGTGGAGAAGCTCTTAACATGTGTCTGCCTCATTTTGGGCAGGTATTGGGTGGGCAAGGGCTAGTTGATTTCAGTACAGATACCAACCCCAAGCTCCAGCTATTGTAATAATTGATTTCCTCACTGTGATGATAAATTTAGAACTTATGTTGAAAGAAGAAAAAGTGTGTGCAAAAAGGGGAAAGACTGGGTCAGCACACCTGACTCCAGCTTTTGACCACTCTGGGGCCTGATTTTCCCCTCAAGATCAGTCAAATCCTAGCCAGCTTCAGATGAGCCTGCAAACATTCTGAATGTAGACCAGATCTCCTGGATTATCCCCACACAAACATCACTTAGTGTGCCATAATGTTTTCCTCAGGATAGATGTGGGGTGGCTGCCCACCCCCCCCATTGATTGCAAGGGGTTTTCACAATGGAAGAGGGGCCCCTGGAGATCCTTCTCTGGTGGGTTGGACTGCCCAGGAAGCCTTGGCTCCTATTGCTGGGAGTACCACTGCAACCAGAAGCAGAAATGCAAATGGCAAGTGGCAAGCTGTAGGGATGCTGGGTTCTGCAGTGCAGGGTGTTTGTGAATCCTTGGGCAGGGAAATGGATGGAAGGGGGAGTGGGATTAGATTAGCTCACATTCATAAATGTTCTGTATGCTCTGATACTCCATGAATCCTCCATTTTTGCCCCACTTCCTCTTCTCCCCCTTCAAATCTCAGCCTCTTCTCTCCTGCCTGGTTTCATCACAACTCCAGATTGCTTGAACAAGCTGCCTGATAAGCCCACAGATGCCAACAGGAAGCAATGATGTTACAATAAGTGTCACAGGGAAAATGTCAACTGTATCATTATAATGAAGGTCATGTCTCCCTCACAGAGAGCTCAGGGCTCTGCACAATTCATGTGTTGTTATTAGGTAGATGTTGACATGTGTAACTTCTACCTTACAAGATTCACAGCACAGGGATGAGGTGAGAAAAAGCTGGCTCAGATCTACTCCAAGCTTCAGCCTTGTAAAAAGTACAGAAGAAAACAATTAACATGCATTACACCAGCGGAAATTCACCATATACTCCAGTTCCAGCTCCCTGTGACAGACAGGATACGCACACAGGGTACCAGGGTAAATGCACAGCACGTAAGCAGCCTCAGAAAATACCAAAGCAAAGCACAAAGAGGTACTAAGAGCAAGTCAAGCACAAAAGCAACCAGCCTGCATCCCAAAGTTGATACTAGTAAATGGCACATGGACACTCCATGTAAAACAGCTCGCTGCCTCCCTAATGTAGGGAATCTCCTCCTTTTAAACCTAGCAATAAAAATGATAAAAAGGGGACTATAAAAAATAAAAGCTTTGAATTAATACTCTAATGAAGTTTTATTATTTTTCTAAAAAAGATTTTGTTCCATGATGAGAAAATATATACTCTCCTTGGCTCTGACTGCATGCTAGGAAGTGGTTGTAGGAGTGGTAAGGGATGTTTGTGCATGCATGTGCACGTGAGATGAAGGAAGGCACGGAATGCAGAAGGCAGAGGCCTTTTAGTTCTCCAGAAAGACACAGTGTTCTTTCCAGTCTTCTCTCCACATCCAAATCTGTCAATATTTTGCTCAATAAGGGATGACATGTTGCCAAGGATTTTCACATGCACACACATAGGCATGTATGCACATGTACCCTGCTGGAGCTGGCGAAAGAATACTAAAATCTGAGAGATTTGACTAATACGAGGCATGACAAAGTGCTCCCAGGGATCCACAAGACTGCCCATCACTCATTTGTCGAGGAAGGTTGTTAGGGCATTGCTCACAGATCCTGCAGGACATCAAAACTACTCATGTACAGACATAAAGGAGGAATGTGGTATGAGAGTGATCATCTGAAGAACTGCAGGTGCTTTTGAGGGGCAAGGGCTAAGGTAGGGCTGGTGTATCAGCCCACTTGCGGGTGGCTGAGCACCATTTTACTCTTCCTCCAGTCCAGAAAGCCAAGGGAGAGGTAAAGCAGTGAGATCAGCAGGTTGCAGCTAAATGATAATTGCACTTCCCTGTGATGCTGGGTTGTAATTTATCTGCTCCTTCCCATTCCCACAGTGCTGTGGTATATCCCCTCCCATCAATTTGTTCCCATATGCACTACTGTGAGGAAAAATTGCTGGTTGGACTGAGCCTGATATTTTTTATGGCAGACTGTGTCCACTCAGTTGCTTGGGGAAATGCTGCCTCAGGACTGAAAGTACAGGGGATGTTGAAGCATCCATTTGTATTTTATTCTAGTATGAACAGAAGGAAAGTGCCATTTTATTCCTCCATCCATAGGGCCATACTCTTATGCCTCTAAGAATAAAAAAGTCATGTGGAATTAATAAGCAATAGGTGAACACAATGGAGATGCACTGAGAAGAAGCTGGGATGATTTGGTTTCAATCCTCCACTCCCTAAAAGGCAAACTGCAGGAAGATGAGAGCAGAGAAGAAAGGTTCTTTACATCTAATTCTATTTTTCTATCCTAGGATGATCCACCTTCCCTGTCTTTGCTCTGTGCTCTGGAAAAAAAAAACCAGCTGAAACTCTGAGACAACCTTTGCAAGTCCCTTCCCCAGGCTGCATCTGAAGCCCATCACAAGGACAGGTGCTACAAGTTCTCTGCAGAAAATACCTACAAAGAGATGTCACATCCTAGACCAAAAGGGACTGTACTTCAGAGGGAGACCTTCAGAACAAAGCCTGCTAAAGGAATCTCCACAAATGCTAAGTTTGGTTTCAAATATCAAGTTGTCATTGTCTTCCCCACCATTCCACCATCCTACCTCTGTAGTCCAAACAGAGAACAAGAACTTATTGCTTCTTAATTCCAGATTAAAGTCAGTAAACCATACTCAAGAGATAAAGGGAGAGTTGAGGCTTTCCCTCATCATGGGGAAGAAGGTGAAAAAGAGGAAGAAGTGGTTTGGGGGTTGGCCAGCTACCCCACTCAGCACAATGGATTTCTGAATACAAACCAAAGAAGGGATTCACTGCATAAGCATAGCAAGCCTTCCCTCAGAGGAAATCACCAAGGGACTGGGTCCACTGTCATCAGAAGTAACCCCCTGTTGGTCCTGCTACTGCAAGTACGTTAATCCCAGTGGCTCACAGATTTTTTCCCTTGGCTCCTGACCTGCAAAGTAATCTGAAAAGGAGTACTTTGTGCATTACTGCCTCTGCTTATTTATTCACTTATTTTAATTTGAAAGAGGATTTAGTGATTCGTGGGAGCTGGGGATCAATATCCCTATCTTGAGCCAAGAACAACTCTGAGCAAGAGCAGTCACGGGATTCTGTGACTGATGGCACACCTCAGAACTGACCTCCCACCAGGGCCTGGCTTCCCAGTCACCCTTCGGCCACTGCCCCTGCTATTCCACAGGCACCCCAGCATCTCCCTTGGCTGTTTCCTTTCCCTTCTGCACTCAAGTCTTCCTTGAGTAGGGACTATAAGATACAAGCCAGAAGGTGAGACTATGGGTTTGGGATGATAAAATTGAGATCCACCAAATTCATTTTTATTTGCAATCATAAACCAAGCTCCACTTTACAAGACAGAGAAATTAAAAAGGAAAATGAGAAAGAGTTCAAGTGCATCAGTTACAGGTTGTTAATAGAAGCAAAGTATTTTGTACTATTTATATTTTATGAAGCGCTATTGCTGTGTTTTGTCCAACAGCACACCCCAATAAATGATTTACCAACTTGTAAAGGATCCAGCAAACTGATCTCAGCTCATTCTTTAAAAGGCCAAAGATCCTGATCTCTGTGTTACAACACCATTCCCCCAAATACACTGATGCACTTCCAAACTGAAAAAAAAACCAAAACCTATATCAGTCCTCACTTGGTTTTTAAAACTTTTCTACTGAATTTTTTCAATTGGTATATGATAGTGTTCTGCAAGAAATGAAGTAATTTTTCAAAAAATGATAGAGAACATTTGAAAAGTCCATAAAAGAAATTACAACTTTCTAATGAAAAATAATTTTTTAACATCACACATATTTGATTTTCATATTTCTGACAGAAGAAATAATTATAAAAAGTAATTAGAAGTATTATTTCTTAAGCTTAGAAATATTTCATAGCCTTAGAGGTTTCCTTTAGAAGACCTCAGCTAATCCTACTCCCTTCCACACACCCCTGAGCTAGGATTTGCAGGACTGCTGATAGATCAGACTCACTGTAAGTAGGTGGTACAGGGAACGCAGGCAGTTTTCTAAACACGCAAAGCTGTCTCTAATAACCTTCTCTCTCTTTTGGATTTTGTATTATACTAGGCAAGCACAACATTTCAGATTTATTGGCATGCCTGCATCAGACTATGATGGTATCAAGTGGCACATGATGGAAGGTGGGGACCAGCATCTACTTTAGATGAAGCAAAAGTGATGTTTGTGAATGAGAGAGGCAAGAGGTGTGCAGTGTCCCAGCAGTGTCCAATGGATGAGGACAATTATCACCAGAAGATGAGACTTCTCTCCCTCCTCAGCAGACAGTGTGATAGGAAGGAGGCATGGATACAGCTGATCACGTCTCTGGCAAAGCAAGAGTCTGTGTAGGTGTCATAGAAGAGGATGATGTTTCATTCTTGGAGGCACATCAGATAATTTGACTCCTATGTCCTATTTCTCTGAACCTTTACTCTAACCAAGCTTTGCCTGGATCGGTAAAGCAGCAATAGGAATGACCAGCAATGTTGGTGTTTTTTTTTTTTTGGTAACTTCTATTTTCTTATGGTCTGGGAGCCATCAGCCTCTCAGTTTTAGACCTGCTTTGATGTACTCTTGAATGAGCCATGGAGAACAGCAGGAGCTCTGCTGGCTCAGTGGCATGCTTGAGCTGAGGGTCTGCCCTCAGGAGTGACAGTCAGTCATTTGTGCTGGAAGGGCATGTTAGAGGCTGCTGCTCAGCATTGCATTCCTTGCCCAGCCAGAGCATTTCCAGATGCAGGAAAGAGTCGTTTCCCAGAACAGCAGCTCTGACTATGAGCTAAGACCAAGTCAGAAGCAAAACAAGTCAGGGTCCTATTTAAGCCCTGTCAGAAATTACCAGCCCTGTTCCAGACAAAGAGGTGACATTCAGAGTCCTACCACAAGCTGAACTCACTCTGACTCACAATGGTCTTGGTTCTTTTTAAGTGAAGTTATGGACTGGTGTAGTTGCATCATTGCAGAGCTCTGCATGGACCTTGTTTTAGCATCAGATGGAGTTAGCACAAGACTTTGAGGGTGCTGGGAAATGAACGCACTGCTGGGGGATACACCTTGTTTGGGACTGACTCTGCAGACTTCTGTTCTTACCCCGCAATACTTCAGCCTTGTTCACAAAAACAGGCCTGCATTCAGCCAAAATAAGGATAGCTACATGCCCTGAGCACCAGTTCACTAAAGCAGCACAGTCAAGGCCAAGGGACATTGAAATCCCAGAGACCAAATGCTTCCTGTCAGAAGGCCTGGAGGCGACCGTCACTTTAGACAGGGTCGTCAAAAAACCACTGTGTCGTGAGGTCTGAAGGGAGTGGAAGCCTGAGACAGATATTGAAGGGAAGCCGAAGAGGCAGCAAGCAAAGCACAAGGGCTGGGATTTGAGGAGAGCACATTTACTACTGGCTGGACTTGTTACTGTTTCGGTGCAGTTAGCTCCTGTCTGTCACTCTCAATAAAAGTGTTATTGATTAGCATGTGACTTTATTGTAGGGAGCTGGCCAGGAGCCAAGGTGGAAGGACTCCAGAGGGAAAAGAGGACGACTGAGCTGGCAGGGAGGGGAGGGGGTAGGGGGGATGGAGGAGGAGGAAAAAGGAAGCTTGGAAACATAAAATCTTGAAAAGAGTAATTAATTCTGATCGTTACAGCAATCTATCCAGATTTTCAAGAATATTATAAATCAGTTGCCTGTACCCCTCCTATTAGCATTCACACTGGGGAGGGATCCTAGGGAGAATTGATCAGCTGAGAATGCCAGTGCCCTGGGGAAGGACTCCAGCTCAGAGAAAAGAGGATTGTTTTGGCTGCTCATTTCAGACCAATCCTGTGCCCAGGTCCATGGAAAACCAAGGAGGCTGGAGGCATGGCCCCTCAGGAGAGAGGCATGGTCTCTTAGCCCACCTCCACTGCTGTTCCCTTGAGGGTATGCCAAAAGAAAGGGCAGATGGCTTGCAAATCTTTCTGAAAGTGAGAAACTGTTACTATCTCTTGCAACTTAGCTGGAAAAGAAAAAAAACAAAACTCACAGAAGAAATCCCTACAGGAAAAAATACTGTAGAAATTGAAGGGCAGAAAATGCATACTTTCTATATTAAATTAGAAATAAGCTTTATTTTTAAAAAAATCAACATTTTCTCTGAAATGCTTCATTTTAATTGCTTTCTTTGGGAAAATTTTCTTTAAAACCTGCTTCATTAACCACAGAATCCCATTTCTCATGAAAAAATTTAACTTTTTTTTTCCCTTCCACCTGCAAACTACCTCCTTACTTCTAGTGGTTTTGCAAAGTCATCTGGAGCCCCTAGGAAGAACATAAATGTGGAATAGGAATAGTAGTGAAAGATTATTCATTTAACTACATGACAAAAGATAGTCCATCATTATCAAATAAGTCTTGGTCTACCATTTAGAAAGAGAAGAAATAAAATTTTGATTAGATAACTGATGGATTTCCTATTTATGTATCTCAAAGACTTGCTCCCAGTTCCCACCCTAAGGCTGGCCCACCTTCCATCAGGCTGTGCACTGCCTCCTTGGAGGCTCAGAGGATGGAGGAGCTGTGGAGTTCTGATGGGAACCACTGGAGCTTTGTTCAGGGAGCTTGGCACAGGATAGCAGACAGTGTTGAAGGCTGGAGCCAGGGATGCTGACAGAGCTGCAGGACCAGACTTGTTCACTGTTTACTCAGAATTTAAAGGTGTGCTTGTTTGGCTCATCTGCTTTCCAGAGAATAAAAATAAGCATGCTCCTGATGTTTATGAGACATGTCCTGGCAATGCAAATCCAGATACCAACAGGGACTTCATAGGACACAATGATTTCAAAAAAACAACCACCATTAAAGCACAACTCTTCATTTTCCCCCTTTTCAAGACTCAGCTCTTAAATCTGATGGTCTGTTGTTGCCACACGCTAATTTCATGGCTGTCAATGTCCTGACCTTTTGTTTCTCTCCATTTCCTCACCTCTTTAATGGAAAACTCTTCTGACACCCCTCTTTCCAAAAACACACAGGTTTTCTATACTAGCTGTCCAGCCACTGCTGCAGGACATCGATGTGACAGCAGGCTGGTCCTGCTGTCCACAAGGTGTGCCATCAGTTGTTCCAGAGGGCTGTGATGATGGCACTGGTAGCTGAGCTCCTGTCAGGGCTATGAAGCTGCTTGCACCCTGCACTCAGGTAGCATTGGCCACGTTCTCTGGTCGTGTGTAGCAACTTTCAGGCAGTGTTAAGACAGCGTTAACTCTGCCATAACATCAACACAATCACTGGAAGCTTCGATCCCCAAGCCATGTGGAACATGGAACTTGGAACCACATGGAACCAAGCCACATGGAACTTGGTTGTCACATCTGTCCCTCCCCTCCTCCCCAGCACACCTTCCCATGTGACCTTTGCCACCTCCCTCCCTCCAGACTGGCAGCAGTGAAGTGACTCCATTAAACCATGGGCCCAGATGGCTTTCTCCTTTTTCTGAGTCCATCTGTGGCCACACTCTGCCAAGCAGGACATTTCCCTGCGGCTCCCTTCACTTGCCTAAACATAGGTTTTTGGTTCCATTTGGGATGCCTTGGGATACACAAGACATCTGCACAGAAATGGCAGATATGACCCAGGACTACAGGAGACCTGTGCCCATCTGCAGCAGTGGCAGGAAGCCAAGCAGGACACCAGAAATCTTTTAAAGCTCGAGCACCTAACACTGCTTGCAGCAAGCAAGCAAGCTGGGGTTTTGGTGTGGGGTGGTTATTAGATGTTATTGGGAGCAAAGACAAAAGAGTCCTTCTTTCTGTTGGTACCCACTTGACCTTGTCTTCCCACCAGCAAGCTCAGGAGAGGAGAGTTTCTGGAATATTTTTCCAGCAAAGAGCAGGTAAAGATCTGACACCATGTGCTAAAAATGAAAGGCAAGACACAGTTGTTTACATAAGGGAAGAAATCTATAAATTGCCCCACATGTTCTCCTCTTCCTTTTCTTTGCATCATCTGAGCCATGATTATGGGGAAAGGGTACTGGAGAGATGGGAAGATTTTTTGAGAGAAGCCCCAGATGATAATATGAATAACTTGCTTGAATGCCTTTTTCTGCTTCACATTTCTTCCCCCAGTACTTCTGTCTCCAAAACCTACTTTTTATATTCATTTATTATTCCTATTCCCTGTTTCTGCCACTGCTGCCAACTCTTAGCTACATTTACTAGTTTTGATTGCATGTTATTTACTTAGCACCTGTTGATTTTTGCCCTCAGGACTTCTCTGTTTTAAGCAAAGAGAATGTATATGATTTTTAATGGATGTAATTTTATAGAAGAAAGGAAACAATCACTGTAACTTCCTTCTCACTAGGAAAAAAACCAAAAGATATTTCAGCAATTGGTCACAGCTGAGCTGATCCTAAAATGGTGACCACAGAAAGGGTCAGGGTAGGAATGACAGGAAATCACAACATATGGAACGCATCATCTTATCTGTCATAGGTCTGCTCAAATTGCAGTGCCTTTTAAAATGTTCATGACTTGACAGACAAAATTCAGCTCATCCATATGAGGTACCCTCCTTGTCTTCCTCTCAGCAGAGCCATGAAGCATACAGAGTTGCACTTTGGAAACAAAACAGACTTGGGAAAGCAGGAGGCCAGTAGACTTGCACAGGTATTGCAAGGTGCTGAGTTAACTAATGGTCCTAACATGTTTCCAACAAAAACCACAGAAAGTACTACATTTGAGTGGGTGAAAGGGTGCTCCCACTTTAGGTTTACTCCTGTTTGGATACTGATCTGACTGCCAGCCTCAATGTGCCTCCTCCAGCACAATGACTTCCCAACCACGCCGCAGTCATTGCTGCCTTCATGCTGATGCCTTCCTTGGGAAAACATCCTACAGCCAGCTAAGAAACAGCAAGACAGTCTAATTCCTTCAGTGCTCCAGAGCAGGAGTCAGCCAAAATCTTTATCAGAAAAATCAGAGCAGGAACTTAGCCATTTCCTCATTTTTTTATGCTACTTGCAAATTAAATTACAACATATTTCTCAAAGAATCATCCAGCCATTAACCAGGTAGCCTACTCTGAACACATATCAGTCCACAGAATGCATAAAGACAGCTTGCTTCTAGTATGGTTGGGGTTTTGGTCTTTTGTATAGACAAAAAAATCTGCCAAACCACTGGATTTTTCTTCTTTTTTAACTATAAAGGTAAAACAGCACAGGAAGTAAAACCCCTACAAACACAGGTTTTCCCTGTCCCTCTCCTTGCTCAGTGTCTCTGGGAGGGCCTGAGCTGTTCACAAAATGGCAGGCTGACTCAATGCCATGCCTGGACTACTCTTAAGTACTGACATCCCTCTAACTCTGTTGGTTAATGATGCCATCTGATGTAGTAGGTCATTAGTCACTGAAGTCACATGGTATTTGCACTGCCCCCTTATTGGATGACCGATGCTTTAAACAAAACAGAAAATGTCAAATTGTTTCATTATGTTGTGGGTGGTTTTTCTAATGAGCAAATGTTTTGGCCAGAGACGCATATTAGCTTTTAGGACTCATTTTCACAGGCAGTCAAACACTTTTCCATACTTAGTGATAGGAAAAGAGATGGCATTTCCCCCATTTATAGCAAAATGCAGTGCACTGTATATATTTTCTTTTTGTAAACCAGCTTTTCCAGTTGAGTAGAAACAAGAACTGCAGAGGCACTAAAAATGGAATCAAGTTCAAAGACCAAGACGTATGTGCTTCTGACAGCACACTTTGATTCTCAGCACTGGGTCATCAGAATCGACCCCTTGGTGTTCACTTGAAATCCTCTCTTTTTAATCCATGCTCTTTCCCTTCCCAAGATGCAGAGTTTTACAGGTAGGATGTTCAGGAGCACACAGTGCTGGCTTATCCTTCACTGTGGGCACACACAGGCCAGTTGCAAATGTTTTTAAAACCTTTCCCAACATTCATCATCATCTTATACCCTTTCCTGTTACTCAAGCTTCTCGCCGCTCTAAATCCTTCCCTACCACCTGACAAGTTACTTTTCTGCACAACTTTCTTAGTCAAACTCCACTTCTGATTTAATTCACACCAAAAGAAATTGTTACAAAAAGACAATGAAGCAGCGATGCAGGGTACAAGGAAGTACTTATACTTCTGAAAGCACATGGGAAATGATTCTTAGTTCTCAGCTGATAAGAACCACTTGAAATACCACCACATGCTCCATTCACCACTAGACCAGAAACTGCCCCACAGAGGAACAGTGGCTCACTGACAACAGGAAAAAGAAGACAAGAGAAATTGCTCTGAGAGAGGGAAAGGAGGAGCTGCATGGAATAAAGTGTTCTCTGCCACCTTGTAGATGGAGTGTGCAGAGCAGAATTAAAGCCTGCAGTGAGCAGATTGCCATGCACGCGCTGACTGTCCACAAGGTGAAATGATACTGA